ATCGGACGAAGACACCTCGAGAATGAAGGCCGATGATCGATCCCGATCGCGGGACCGAGAAGAGGCAGTGCTTGGTCGTGCGGGGCGATGAGATGTCTCGAACCCGTTCCGGTCGCCAAGACGGCCGCAACCCTGACCTGTGGTTAAAGTGTTGCGTGTAGACGCTCACACCATGCGGCAAGAGTTGCCGGAGAAGAGGCAGCCACGGCGGCGCGGCCAGTGTCTCCGGGTGGATATGGACCGGCTGTATCAGCGATCGGTGCGACGAACGACAGGCGGAGGCTGAAGTCCCAAGAAAAGATTTGGATATGGGGGACGATGACGGTTACGGCAGCAGAGCGCCTCCAATTTGGAACACCAGCCCCGACATCCAAAGGCTCCACAAAGAGAGAACGCCGAGATTATGCGCGAATACGCGTAGTATGTGTCGCAGATCAACGCTCTGCAGTGTGTGGGATCTGTTGTGAATCCGCGCCTTGTTTGTTCGAAAGGCGTCTTTCTTTCGGGAAGCAATGCAAAATCCAAACTGAGTTACTTCTCATAGCCTTCCTAGTCAGGTCACTTCGTTCCCCTCAATACAGTACCAACTTGCCAGAACGCCAGGACTCCGGGACGACGACCGATAGCAGGATAATTATCCGACCAGGTTATCCCGTACTAAGTCGTCCCATAGTGATTGATTCAGCATCCAGCAACCGACCTAAACGAGGTTGAAGTGGATTCGGGGCGAACTCGACCAGAGCACTTACCCCTACAATGTGTGACCAAGAGTCAGCTCCAATGCCTCCCGCATCACTTCCACGCCGTCGTCATGTTCATGAGACAAAACCCACTTGCACAGCAGTACGGGAACGTCTTCGTAGACATTGAGGGCTGGCTCCCACTACGCCTCTTCGTCTTCAAGGCAGCCACTTGACCAGGATATCGTGCTGCCCGTTGACAACACGGACAGCCAGCAAGTCTTCCACGTGGAAACCACCTTCGCCGTAGGCAGCTTGATCCAGTAGGTCTTCAGCCGAGCTGTTCGTTGCTTCGCCGTAAATTTTCAGACGGCAGGCGTGGTGCACAGATTCGTTGAAAGGTGGCACCAGCTGTTCGGTCGCCATCACATAAAAGAATCGGTGATAACTCGCGTGATTCTTGAGGGACCATGCCACGCCAGGGCTAACTTGCTCTGGTGTCGTACGACCGACCTGACTAGTACATAGTCGCCAACGTCAAGGTTAGTCCACTTGACGCCTGCTTCTTCGCGTGTCTAGCTCTCGCCTGGCCACGTAGTTATTGCTACGGGCCGACACATCACGTTGCATCTCGTCTAGCGACGTTCGCAGGTCTAGAACGTGCTTGGTCCGGGACTTGTCGAGCCAATCAACATCCCGGACTTCTTTGGTCGTCGGATGCACAATCCCGGACAACGGTGGGGTTGCGTAGGATCCAGCAAACGCTGTCGCATGAGCAAGGCCACCAAGCCGGTTCGACGACTGGTGATTGAGGGCACCTTGAACAAGGGGTAGCACCATTTGCCACTGCGTAGCAGGGAGTTGCCACTCACTCAGCAAGGCCTTCATGGTCTGTAATAGCGTCTTGTTCACGACTTCGACGAATCCATTCGCCCATGGACTGTACGCCGTCGTCACATGGTGATGCGCGCCGACTAACTTGTGCACATTCTCGATCACTTCATTCTTAAAATGGGACCCGCCGTCGAACACCCATGTCGTGACTATCCCAGACGTCGTGAACCAGTCCATGAGAACGGCAGCCGCTGCCATGGCCTCGGCAGTCCGGGACTGAAATAATCGAACGAAGCCACCCATGCCATCCTTGACTACAAATACGTGCTGCAAGCTTGTCTAACTTCGGCAGAGACAACCAGTCAAAATGGATAAGCTCATTGGGGCGCTCAGCATGCAGAGCAGAACCAAGCAGCGGGGCTCCATGTCGTCATCTGCACACACGCAATGGAGACACCCCGAGACAAAGTCGACCACGTCAACCTTGAGCTTGGCCCACTCGAACTTCGCCGCAACAGATTGCGTCGTCGCCTCCACTCGACGGTGGCCAGCTGCTCCTTGATGGACAATCACACAGAGCTGCTGTAGGAGGTCGTCGATGCTAGATCAATCGCTACGGGACGATCTGTAAGGATAAACATGCGGAGTCTCCTCGTCCCGGAGTCTGGCCTTCCTGGCAAGATTCTATTGTATTGAGGGTAACGAAGTGAACTGCCTAGGAAGGGTAATGAGAAGTAGCTCAGTTTGGGTTTTGCATTGCTTCCCGGAAGGAAGCCGCTTTGCAGACAAACAAGGCACTGACTCACAACATGCAGGGAGCGAGAGGATACGAATGGTTCTAAAGGCGAGGCCGCGGTGAGTGGCGTGGGCCCGACCTCAAGCAAGAAGGCCAATCCAAGACAACGACAGTCGTGTTTGAAGCGCGGGTACTGTGGTGTTCCCCGCAGTTCCGACCGCGAGA